GCCCCTGTGGGGGTAGGGCAGGGCACAAGCATGGCTCGCTCTTGGTAGGCTGGACTTCTTCAGGAGACTTCTTGCTCAACAGTTCTTGGTAAACACTCTCCAGATGAACCATGGGGTCCTTTTCATCTGTTATCCTCTTCTGAGTGTCATCTAATCCACAACAGAGAAATATAGTAATATGACTACCACCAAGAACGTGGAAAGCACACAGACTGCAGGAAGAGACACAGACAGGAGAAACCCTGTTCTGACCCAGCCTCCATGCGTCCACCAGCCAGGCCCTGCAGGTTATTTAGAGTCTTTGTTTCCCCCTCACGAATTATAGACTGCAGTTAAATAGAGAAATAGAGAAAGGACTTTCTCTAGCTCCACACTGGCACTTCGTGTCACTTAATGCAGCTTGGTCAGGACCTCTGGGCTCTTCCAAAGCATTCTTCCACTTGTTGAGCTGGGGTCTGCAGTACATGAGACACGCCAACGAGTTCCACGCTCTCCAGAGACTGACTTTACAAGCCTCTATATTAAACCCTTCAGAGAGCCCACTCTCTGTCTGCTCATGTAACACAGGAAAATATCTCCTCCTACACAGTGCCAAAACAGAACCATGTCTTCAGGGACAGAAGGCCAGACAGAAATGTGTTGGGACTCCCACACAGCCCGGCTCTCTGTGCTGGAGCAAAAGCAGGAACAGACTTGAGCCCACCAACCTTCGTGGTAGAGCGCCCGGAGGAAGGAGTGGCGGTCTGTTCCCTGAAAGAGGGCATTTTCAATCTCCATCTCCCGCCGACTCAGCTGCTTGCTGCCAGCAAACCTCTGGGGCAGAGCCAGGATGCGCTGACGCTCCTCCATCTTCTCTTGGATGGCATGGAGTCGGTCCTGCGTGGCCTCCGGGGCTGCTCCCAGCCCAGAGCCCTGGAAGACAGGCACAGCTTTGCTTAGATACAGCATGTGCCTCCTTTTCAGTCAAACTTCACATCCTCCAGCCCTGGAGAGCAACTAGAAACCACCCCCCAAAGAGCAGGTCACCAAGAGGACCTGTTACTGCAAGGGCAGGACAGAAATACAACCAATCAACAAGCCTCAGTTCTTGAGAAAAATGGAGAAACAGCCCCTTTTCTCCTGAGCTTTCTGTGCTGCTTTCCTTTCCTTGGCCTCACTGGCTGATGGTGCCTGTGTACCTCTCTCCCAGCCTCTGCCAGCTATAGCCATTTTCTAAGGCCACCTGCAGTAACTCCACAACCCCCTTTTGGCAATTCTTTTGCCACATCTGTAGCATCCCTGAGCTCAAGTTTCCACCCAGCTTTTGGTCTATGATCCTGGTGTCACTGAGAGAAATTTATTTGCTGAAAAGTGGGCCTCAAGTTGCTGTTTGACACCCGAGGGGAGGTTTAGGCCAAGGACTAAACCCCTGGTCAGCTTCACATGAGCCACCTCACAGAAACCACCCAGCTACTGCAGCACAGACCTCAGAGCTGACCTGGCTATGAGAGAGCGTTCCTGTGTAAATAAACTTGACTGCACGGGGCCAGGGCACTGCCAGGATTCACCAAATTCGTGCTGCCAAAGCACAGAGACACATCCCAACTTCTGTTCCCCCATCCACCTCTACCAGAATCCAGAGAACACACTTTTATGGGGCTGTAAGTGCATTTTCTTTTCTCAAATTCAGTTCAACCATTACTGTGGCAGACCCTTCTGCCTCAGGCAAGAAACCAGGCTTTCTCCCTGCACTGAGCACAACCCAACAAAGGCTCTCCCATGGGTACCTCTCCCCTCCCGCCTGACTGCACAGGCCCACATCTACAGAGCTTCCATTCACCATTTCACAGCTTCCCTGCGGCACAAAAGGCTGTTTATATGGAAAAGCAATTCCAGGAAATCATTTGTAGTACTTTGTTTTCAAAAAAGCTGCAACTTAACAGCTGAAAATAACAGCAGCCTGCACTCAGTGCTTTGCTGAGAGCTCCACGGGCAATCTGAAGTCCTCCCTGTCTCTGCTGATTCCTCCTTGGTGGAATCCTTCACTCTGGGCTTCCACATACAAAACTGCACATTGCAACCTGACTTGGGCTTTCTCTCTGAATGTTCTTCTATCACAAGCTGCACCCTAATTTCACTGGTTCTTTCTGTCAGATTAGTGTTTTCCACGCTAATCTTTGTTTCTAAACATCCCAGAACTGATTTCATACCAAATAAAACAGCTGGTAGCTGTTGAAATTATTTTTCAATGGTAAATTAACACCACACCCCTCTCCGACCCAAGCTTTAATGCAGGCCACACCAGGACTGGGTTTGCATTTAAACACCAAAGCAATTAGTGACTTCAGCTGAAGAGAAGCAAACCCATGATTAACACAGTCAGCTTCCTTCTGCACACAGCTATTGCTCAGGAACAGGAGAGACAGATCTGCACACAGCTATTGCTCAGGAACAGGAGGAGAGACAGCGGGAAGCCAAGGGTCAGCCCAAGTTCTGTTTTGCACCTTCCAGTTTACCAAATTAAGAGCAGAGCACATCAGAGCAGAGCACACCTACCTTCCCCGTTGAAGCCCGGTTCTTCCAGAGCAGGATCTCCGAGTCGGAAAGCCCCAGTTCCCGGAGAGAGGCAGTTTCTTTGTTGCTCTCCTGCAGGGCCTGGAACTGTGACAAGGTCAAAGCTCCCGCAGCCTCCTCCCCAAAAGGCTTGTAAAACGCTGCAGGGGCGAAGCATCTCCTCTTTGACTTACACCTGTAACCCAAAAGCAACAGAACAGCAGAAACAACTTAGCACTGAGAAATTGGGGGAATAGGAAGGGGTTGCCCTCTCCCCCCACCCATGCCTGGTCCCACTGCACCAAGGCAGATGCCATGTTTCCAACACACGATTGATCCACATTCTCACAACCCTTTTCCAAGCCCATGAGATCCCACAGAGCAGGATGCTGCCCCAACACGGGCAGGAGGCACCTCAGGACACTAACACCAAGCACCCTGCAGGTGCAAGCACGGGCCAGGCTGGTGGGGACGAGCTCGCCAGCCTAGAAACTCACACCTGTGTCTGGCCCAGACAAATCAATCATTTTCAGTGAAAGTAAGTTACCACCAGCATTTACTCCAGGAGACAAGGAGTGCTTATCTCCTGCTGGGGTGTCCAGCCAGGAGACCCAGGAAAGAAGGAAGGGTTTGCCCAGCTATTTGGGCAGACAACAGGCTGCACGAAACATCCCCCTGGGGAGGAGGCCTCAGTGAGGTTATACTGCTGCTGCCCCTGACATGGCCAGACTCTGCTCACCAGCCCCTCCAGCAGCCCCCCCCAGGGGCCAAACCAGGACTTACTGCTCGATGGAGACAGTGGTATCAAGCTGGTGGTGAAGGAGGCTCTTCAGCTGCCTCTCTCCTTCTGTCTCCAAGTCTTCCAGGAGCAGCTCATCGCTGGACAGGCTGCTGTTGACCCTGGAGTACACAAGCACAGCACAGACGTGGTGAGTAGGGCAACAGGGAAAACACTGCTCAAAACACACCACTGCTACAGCCTCTCTGCTTCCTTGACTGTTTTTACGGTATTTAAAGCATAGCAAGGAAACAAAACTACTTGACCAAAGCTCCCACTTATGTTAACCAGAAAAGCCAACAGATTTAGGACTACTTTGAGAACATTAAAAATACCCCCAAGGAGATTTTTGGGGAAAAGAAAAAAAAAAAGAAAGAAAAAAGTCACATGTAATCACATTTTTATCGGTGGAAAGTTGTTTTGTATCAGTATCTAAACAGACATTGCTAGTTTCAAATGGCTCAAGAAAGAAATCTGTGAGGGAGAAGAGAAGCAGTGAACTTTTGCAGCGCTCAACAGAAAGCTCCCTTTTCCCTTCCTGGGCTCACCTGCTTCCACCCAGACAGACCGAGGGACATAATCTCCACCCTCACCCCGCAGAGAGCAGACCGTTTTGGATAGCAGTGGGGGGTCGCTGACCCCCCTTTTGGAGGCAGAGCTCCTACAACCGGGGCTTCTGCCGAGCCGCTGGGCACCCCAGAGCCGGACCATGGGGACCTGAAAGCCAGGCCTTTCCCTGCACTGGAGGGAAGCCCACCCCAGCCCTGGGGAGCCCTTTTGGGCCGACCCTGCGCGGGTAAGGGGTGGGCAGGCGACCCGGTTCCAGGCGACAGCTCTCCCTGCCACCACCTTCAGGGCCACGGCAGCCCCAGGAGGCTGTGAGGCCTCCGTCAGACCCCCCAAAAAAGCCGCTTTCCAAGGCATAGCCGGCTCCAAGGGAACTTTGTGCCCGGCCAGGTACCGCAGGAGCGGCTGACAGGGGCTCCGTGCTGACCACCCTAGAGCAGAGGGACACCCCGGATCCCCTCAGCCCCGCTCACCTGCGCATGGCGGCGGCCCCGGCTCCCAGCAGCGCCCGCGAGCGCAGGGGCCGACGGGAGATGTAGTCCCGAGGAGGGGGGGGACGGTGAACCCGCGGCCTACAGCGGCCTGCCCGCCTCCGAAATAAAACTGTTAGTAACAGCGAAATGGCCGCGCTCTCAAGTGAAAACCTTACGAGAATCCCCGCTAAAGACGATGAAAGCCGCACACAGGAAAACGTGAAAGAGCAACTCGCACATTTAAACTCCCATTAAAGCCAGTGAATTCCTCTGGGAAGTGGGCCCTTTGCTGTTTTTCCCCCCAGGACAATGCATAAGAGAAGAGAGATGGGGTAGAGGGAGAAGAATGTAAATATAAAGTAAAGGTCATTATTTATTATTTGCACCCCTTCAGCATTTTGCTGAAGAGACACACAAAGAGCAAAGCAGAATTGAGTACTAGGGCAGGTCTGCTAAATACATGATAATTCACTTCCCTCTACTAGTAAAGAGACAAAGTGTGGTTATGATGCACATTCCTGTATCAAAAAAGCAGTGACGTGTGACTATTGTCTCTTAAAAGAGTCTTGGCAGCAGACTTGTCAACTATGTTCACTCCTGCACCCTTGTGACTGAACAAGCTTCACCACCCCAAGTCACCACACAAGAACCATTTTCTAATGGCACATTTAATAACTTTTAATTGAGTACAAATTCCACTTACAGGTACCTGCACAAAAGCAGTTTATTGCCAAAAAATACAGAAAACAAGGCCCACTTTCACAAGTGGAAACACAGGGAATTGGAAACACAAACTCCAGCTCAGTGGCAGGAAGAATCAGAGTCTCTCAGACAGGTCCTGCTGGGGACAGCTCTTCCTTAAACTGTCCCTGTAAAGACCTGAATCAAAGCTTAGGAAGTCCCAGCTGAAGATAGTCAGGTTCCACTGAAGTTCTGGAGAGCTCAGCCATGGAGCCACAGAGGGCTTAAATCCCTCAGGGGCAGCCTCTGTGTATCTCACCAGCCTGCAGGCAGTTGGGAACACCAGGAACAAAGGACACTACTTCCAGCACAAACTTCATGCAGTCTCTCAGACCAGAGTCAGGGAATTCCAGTCAGTCACTGCAAAGACTGGCTTTGGAACAAACAAAAAAATTTTATTGCAAGAAAGAAACAAACCCATATCTTGATTGGAGACCTAGGTCCCCACCAACCGCTATTTTCTCAGGAGGCATTGCATTAATCCTTAAAGTCCTTCAGTCAAACGCAAACCGAAAATTGCGCTCTTGCTCCTTGCGGCGGCTCTCACAGACCTTTGTCACCTCTTCTACCTTTCTCTGCAACACAGCTGTGGGAAAAACAAGGCATTAGGCTTACAATCACCCTCAAACACAACCCTGCACAGGTTAGCCTGCAGAAGGAGAAAAAGATTGAATTTTGACAGCCAGTCAACATGAAGCACCGCTAACCCTCCAAGGCAAAGAAGATTGGCTGAAAAGTTCTCTGAGGCATTCAGAGCACCAGGCACAAGCACCAGAGCCCTGGGACAGGTTCTTGACAATTTTTGCCATGCCAGTTTGTTGCAGTTTCAGGGCACTGCATCAGAGAGCAGACAGGAATCCTCCCCAAAGAGGAACTGAAGGTCTGCAGCTCAAGGAAAAGCAATGACTCCAGAGACCAGCTTCCCTTCCCCACCTCCTGCTGAACTCACTTTGAGTTACACAAATTAAAGGCCAACCACATAATCTGCTAGAAGTATGTCCTGCAAGAAAATATGTCCATAACAGAGCCAGAACAAGCTTTTCACTGAAGATACAGAAAAGGTAGTGCAATCACACAGAAGAGCAACAACAGAGCACCTGCAGCCACAACACAGATCAGCAGTTCTTTGCCCATCACTGATTTGGAAATATGTAAGCCACCAATTGATCAAAACTGCAGCTTCTTAGCCTTTTTGCTTCTTTCTTGTTTGAGGGTGAACTGAAGCTCAACTCTTTCTTTAGATGTGCATTTCCCAGCAAAGGAAAAGAATCATTATTAACTGATATGACAATTTCTTTGGTACTGAATGACAGAGGGGAAAAAAATCAGGTCTCCTTCCTAGGATAATTTAAAAGGAAACAGGTTGCTGTTTTCACACACATTCTGTAAAGTCAGAGTTCTGATGCCACAGGAACTGCACCAGAAAGGTACTTCTGGAATGCGGAAATTAGTATGTTCTGGAAAAAAAAGCCAAATTAAACCCTGACCTAAGCCAAGAACATAATTTCAACATGGACAGTGGTATTTCTGGTTTCACCCAGGCAGTTCACCAGCTGTGAGCACCTTCACAGCGCTGCAGCCAGACAGCGCAGTTTGGTGCTGTGAGAGCAGCGCTGCTTTATTCTGCCGTGCCCCCGTGTGGCTGCTGACACTAGTTCAAATCAAACCCAGGTAGAATTCTTAGTCCCTCACAAGGAGGCACCCCTGGGGAGAAAAGTTCCTTTTTTCTGTTTGTTTTTAGGCTGTCCACTCTGAAGTTTCCACACTATTACTCCAGAGTTGCTGCGCCTGCAGATAAACACATGTGGTCCAATCTTACCTGTATTTGGGGTTCCCTTTGCAGGGGAGAGGATGATATCATTACAGACACAGCCCTCCTCAACAATTTTCCTATTCCAAAGGGAAACCCCACAACATTTCAGAAGCTGCAGTATTTAACCATAGTTTGACAGAACAAAGCACAAGCTTTTCAAGTCCTCTGCTTTGCACTGAGGCATTTCAAGCAGCGCTTTCTGTAAAACATTGGCAGTTGCCAGGAATCACTTCTCAGCAGAGGCCTTTCATGCACATCAGCAGAATTCAAGAGCAGAAGGGACAGTGTCATTGAAGGTGAGGAGGAGAAGATTCCTTGGGGATCTTCAGGAATTCATTCTTGTTCAATAAGCGCTTGCCCACACGCTACACGCTTCCTATTTACATTCCCAAAAAGCTGCAAGACAACTCTCACCTGAGTTCTGGTCAATCCACTGCAACGAATCCATGTGGGCGTTCAAAATTTTACAGATCTGCTGAAGCTGAGCAGAAAGAGAAGGTGCAAGTCAGTTTTTAGGTAGTGTAACAAATCAGAACAGTAAAAACCAGCCTGCCTGTCCCTGCCTTTGGAACATAATGCAAGCAAATTCCTCAAATGTACAGCTCCACTAACTGTCCAGTCACTTTGATAGCTTCTCTTCACTATCAAGAAAAGAGACTGGTTTTGACTATGTGCTTGTGGATTAGGCTTATTCCAATTCCTGGAATAAGCCTAGGAACACCTAGGAGCCACCGCAACATAAATCACTTTAGGCCTGAGGTGGCAAAAATAAAAAGAAATGGGAAAAAAACTCAGTCTGCAATAGTGAAGGGAAAATTTTACAAAAAAAATATATCAGTAAAGCTCCAAAGAGCATCAAGATCAATTTAACACATATCAGAAAGAGCTGGTAATTCAAATTTTGTTTTCAGGAGAATCCAACAGCAATGTAAGGAAAAAGTATCAGCATCTACAGAGCTAATTCTGAAAAAAGTTTGTTTGCCACAAGGAACACGGAAGCAGCAGAGCAGACAGAGGGGTCAACATCAAGAAGTGCCTCCAAAACAAGTTGTAATCCAGGCAAAAATTAGACAACGTGCAAAAAGCCTGAGTTCATATTAGAATGAGATACTTTGAAAACTATATACTGTGTTATAATGTAGTTTGACCAGAAAAGAAAGAAGCCAAGGACAAAAAAAAAAAAACATTCCAAGGTTTTAGCAAGAAGCAGCAGAGTATCCAAGTGTGGACAATCACCAAGTTCGAACTGTTTAAATATCCTTTGTCTCCTACTAAGAAACAAAAAATAAAGCTTGGATTTACCGGGTCACTTGTGTCTGCTGGGCCTCTTGATGTATTCAGGTGCTCAGTGATGTCCTTCAGATCTTGTGCCATTCGCTTCAACTGAGCATCTATGTTTTCAGCCAGTTTATAGCTGCAAAACACATGGGAACTCAGATCAGAATATTTAAAGTGTACTTCAGAAGACCCGCTCCCAGTCACACCAACTTTGGGCAATCAGAATTTCATTCCATGCCTTTCAAACAAGGCTGGCAGATGCACAGGAGCAGCACCAGGGAGACGTTCTACCACACAGATGAATTAACTCCTACCCTCCTCCTCTCTCAACAAACACATGGAGACAGACAAGCAATAGTTTAAAGGATTTCTGGAAGGCTTTGTCAGAATTGAAGGAACCAGCCTGTCCTGATTCTTCAAGATTCATCACTCTTGAACCAAACACTTCTCTTCATTACCCTGCTATGATTCAACACTTACAGCTTACAAAGATGCTTCAACCACACATCAGGCATTCTGCTCTCATCACTTCTGTCACTAAATAATCACTGGTTGTCAGAAATTTTGCCAAAATTAGTAACTTTTCCCAGACAGCTAAGTAGACCAACACCCAAAGAGCTTTTCATGCTGATTCCAGTCACATTCCCCCTGTTTCTAATGCATAAAGTCTAAGTTGCCTGGAATAAAACAGGATTACATATTTGACAAAAGCCATTGATGCACCCCAACTCTACTTCATGCTCATCAACCACCACCACACGAGCCTCCTCATCACATGGTCCAAGCACACTGGGGTCTTACGTCCTCTCCCGTTCTTCATCTGCGTGCTGCAAGTAGATTGTCCCGCTCTGTTCCTTCACAGACTCCTCCAGAGGGGTCAGCAAGTCTTCCAGCTCTTTCTGCTGTGACAGGATGAAGTCCAGCTCCTGATCCAGTCTGAAAAGAGAATGTGTCAATGACTCCACTGAGAGGTTACAGACACTCTACACCTGCCACACCACGAGGTGGGAAGATGCAAAAGAGAAACAAAATCCTCTCAAGTCTTCATAGTTTCGTACCTCTTCTGATCAAGCTTCACTTTCTCTACTTCTCTGTGTAAAGAGGTAATCTGGAAACAGAAGACAATTATTATATGAAAATCCAGAAGTCAACCCATAAGAGTAGTGGAACGTAGAAAGCCAGCACCATACAAGTGGCTGCTGTTTCTACAAGAAGCACTTTTACAGTTCTTTTATTATTTTTTTTAAAAATTTACATACCAAAACTGAGTAAGGGAGGTTTGGCTTTGAAAGCTCCACTCTAAGGTAACTTGTTATCGCACAGTAAACTCAAAGAACAGACTGCCAGGCTTCAAAGCCAGAACCAACACACAGTGAGGCTTTCACAAGCACCATTCATTTGTATTTTTTTAGATGTCAGAAGTCCCACTAGATGGCTTCCTCCATCTGTAACACTTAAGGCCTTGAAAGATCTAAAGCACGATCAGGTTACACCAGATGTCACCTTACCTTCTCCCCATTCTCTATCAGAGTCTGATCCCAGGCATTAACTTGTGTCGCTTGATGGAGGAAGTGTTTCTCTTGGTCCTCCAGTTCCAGACTCCACTTGTTTATCAAGCTCTCCAGCTGGGCATAAGTCATCACTGGAGGTGCACTGAGAGGAAGGGCAAGACAGAGCAGGAGATCAAAAACCAAAATATAAACATGACAACACTCCTTTTCCCTTGCTCCACCAGACATCAGCACTGATACTGCCTCTTGCCCCAGCCAGAAAACAGTCTGTTATAACTAAATGCTCACCTGGTGGTTGTTGTGGTGGTTATGGCAGCTGTAGAAGTCCCAGCTCCAATGGCACCAGTTGTAGTTAATGGCTTAAGATTCAAAGCAAATCCAGAAGCAGCAGTAGTGCCTGAAAGAAGAGATTCAAGCTAAGCAGAAGAGGACATACGTGCTATATAACAAACTGAGAACAGGTCCAATATGGTCTTTTAAGCACACCACTGTATGAGTTCACATAGGTCCCTTAAACACAAAGCAAATCCTACATCTATCAAGATGGGGAAAGAAGCACATCTTGACACAAAGGTAGTGGACTCTAAATGCCTGACTAGTAGCTCTAGTAATACAAGGAACTATCAGCCTGCACTTAACCTAGGCATTATTCAAAAAAACACAAAATTAGCCCACACACTTCTTAATCTCCTCATGTTTTAACATTAGACCTAATAACTACCAGCAAACTCAGTTCCTCTCCTGCATCTGCACAGAAGATGAGATTTTGTGTTTTCACAAAGCTAACAGTATCTATCAGATGGTATTGTCAGCCAGTCCCACGGCAATTCTAGGTATTGAACTCAAATTCTTCACAGTCACTCCAGAAACAAGCATTAGAAAGACCTTGAGAGCTGAGCAGCATCCATGTTTTTACACTGAAAACTGATCCCATACTTTCAAACTTACAATATGGAAGAAACACATAAGGTCGAACTGAAACAAAAACCATCTCTCCCTAATAGTCCCTGCAAGTTTTTGGCCTCTCCCTCTCCTCTTATGGCAATTCTGCACCTACACAGGCAGGTTAGAGAAGGAGCAGCCAATCTATTTACATTTCTTGCTCCAAACCAGAACATCAAAGCCTACAGGCCCTCCTTCACCCGAAGTCCCTCTGCTGTCAACAGGCTCTCAGAAGTCATAAGTAACTGTGCATTTGGGGAGATGGAAAGGAGGATTAGAAAAAGAAATATTGTTATTTTCAGTTACTGGAGGGCATTAGTAATTAGAACTGCTGTGCAGCTTCACCAGCACAACCCTTTATGCTACTACAGAGCATTGAAGTCAGGCTTCCTTCTCTGCAACTACTTTCAGCATTTGGTTCTTACTAGTGGCAGTGCTTGTTGTGGCAGCTGTAGTTCCAGGAACTTTTAATCCAAACCCAAGGGTTCCAAGACTGGCCGTCCCAGTGGAAGGGGCACCAACTGTAAAAAGACAAAATAAAGAGTCTCTGTCATCCATTACATACAGACCCCTTTGTAAAGCTCTACCCTGGTTGCTCTACCCCATCTCGTCTTTATTTGTATTAATGAGGATCACTTTACATGACAGATCATCCAGATAAGACATGAAAAAAGGCAGGCTGAAGGTATAAAATAGCCAGAATGCTCTGCCTAAGTTTTCAGAGGCAGAAGACAGACAGCATTACATATGGAATAGTTGCATTAACTGTGGCCTACATTGACATTTACTGTAGCTATGTCATCCCCACAATCAAAGGAAACTGAAGCACTAAAATCTCGTTGCATCTCATTGAAAAAGAAACTGTTAGGACTGTCTCCAAACCTGGGTTACTGCCTTAAAGCTATCTGAAAACAAGCACTATTTTTTACAAAAAAAAAAAAAAAAAAAAGATTTAGCAAGAAGAAATTGGCCAGTTATTACTACAGGGGCTTGCAAGCCTCTGGCTGCGTGAATACTTGTTTTTAGCACCCTGCATCTCCACTGTCACAGGCCACTGCTCTTAAAAAAGTGACAACACCTATTGCAAGGGGCAGACATAAGCAGACTCAAGGCACTGAGATCTGGATGACAGCAGCTTAAACCTCACCAGGGACCTCAGCTGTGGAAATTCTACCCAGAGTTAGAAATAAAAATATTCACATACAGCTTAAACTGTCCAAGGCTGCTGCCCACCCTGAGTCTGAAGTGTGCTTTGGTTTGAACAAAACCCTTCATGCCTCACTATTGAGGACAGCGTGGCAGAAATCACAGAAAGGGAAGGTGGCAAACAGCAACAAGAGCTGGCCTTTTGAACTCTCCCCAATCAGCCCAGCAGCTCCACTGCTGACAGGGAGCACCAACCACACTGCTCATTTCTTCCCCCAGCAGAGAAAATCCACCCGTTGTGACTTACGTGAGAGGCCCGTGGTGGTAGATGATGTGGGTGCTGAGGAACTCACTATAGACGCAAACAACGTAGGCCCCGTTGAGCCAAGAATGGAGGTTGTGGTGGTAGCAGCAGTTGTAGCAGCTGTGGAGGTTACTACAAACAGAAAAAGCATCCATCTTGTACAATCATGCTGAGAATTATACAAATTGGCCCATTTACACCAGTTTCTTATGGATGTAAGAATTTAAAATTTCTTTTGTTTCCCCTGTACTTTACTGCAATCTCTTTTCCAATGTACCCTTTGAACCTCTGGCTTCTTTCCACTATGCTCCAACAAGCACAGAATGGAATTCAGCACATGAAATGCAACAAAAAAAGCATCCATCTTGTACAATCATGCTGAGAATTATACAAATTGGCCCATTTACACCAGTTTCTTATGGATGTAAGAATTTAAAATTTCTTTTGTTTCCCCTGTACTTTACTGCAATCTCTTTTCCAATGTACCCTTTGAACCTCTGGCTTCTTTCCACTATGCTCCAACAAGCACAGAATGGAATTCAGCACATGAAATGCAACAAAAAATACAGGATACTAGGTTGATTGGCTGCATGAACCATCTACGATGACTGATGCCATTGCAAATTCACAGTAACAAATGCTTCCAGCCCATTTTCAGAAGCCAGGTTAGAAAACTCTTCCCAGAAGGAAAGCAGATTCACAAAGGCTGGAGTAACCTGGAGATTCCTAAAACCACTTCCTACCTCCAAGTTTTGCTCCAAAGGACAGAGCAGGTTTCTGGTTGGTACTTGTGGTCGGTGTTGCCGCGGGGGCACTCGTGGCTGCTGTTGAAGTCAATGACCCAAACGTTAGACCTGGAACAAGCAGCAGAAGTAAAAAAGAAAAGATGAATCTTTCAGTACAGAGAAAGCGATCACAGCAACACACAACTTACAATCCCCAAAAGCATAAGAAGCAGCATGAATTTTCAATGTAAGCAATACTCTACATTGTCCAGGAAATGAACTGAGGCTAAAAAGCCTCACTCTCCAAAGCCAAAGGCTCAAAAGCAACCGTTGCTCAGCACTGAAGGCCCTGGAGAAGCACAGCAGAAAGCTCTTCCATTCCAGCCACCCGCTTCATTTCTCTCCAGCAGAAGCAGGAGCTGCACAACCTCCACACCAGCCCCAGCTGCCCTCCCTCCTGACAGCACCTGCCATCTCAAGCCCACACACTCACCTGAGGGCTGCCCCCCGAGGCTGAAGGGGGCCGTTGACTGCGTTGTCACCCCTAAGGTGGCCGCAGTGGTGGCAGCAGCTGCTGTTCCAAAGGTGAACCCCGCGGGAGCTGCTTGTGGAGCTGCAGTGCCAAGGGTGGAGGTGGCTGTTCCAGCCTGTGCTGTGGTACCACTAAAAAAAGTAAACCCTCCAGTTGTCCCAGACTGGGCGGTGGTGCCAGTAGAGCCAAACGTGAAGCCAGAAGGAGCTGCCGCTTGGCTCGAGGGCGTGCTGGTTGGTACAGAGCTCCCCAACCCAAAGCCTCCTGTGATTCCAGGAGCCTGAGTTGCCGTGCTGCCACCAAAGTTTATTTTTGGTGCATTTGCCCTAGGGAAGAAAGGAAAAAAAGGCAATCTGTTTGATATGTACTCCCAGTCAGGTACCAAATCAGCTTTCTCACAGAACATCTGCTGACAGCAGCAACCACCTTTCAAAAAGGTGTGCACTTGAACAGGTTAATGCTTCAGTTTTGACAAAGCCTGTATCACAGCTCCTGTCGCCTGCAACCCTTCCTAAGCCTCTTTATTCTGACTCCCCCCACAGCTACCACACCAGGGTAAATAAAGTCACTCATTCTCTCAGCTCCTCAGCACCCTTTTCACCTCCCCTACACAGGACTATTTTTTGTCAGCTAACTGCTACTGCTGGGCCCCACGTCAGCTCCCTTCCCACTCCTCCCATCTGGCAAGCCTCAGCAACAGCACTGCTGAAGAAGCCCTTCAAAGCCTACAGCCTCTCATAAGGGCAGGATAGACCTTGCCTTGGCCCTTGCCCAGAGGCAAACTTTTACCATCTCTTCGTGCAAGCATCAATATCCCAATTTCAGGCTGAGGCATGGAACAGCTTATTCTTAACACCCAGCTGAAAAAGCCAACACTGACACATAATGGGACCCACCAAACGCGTTTCCCAAAGGGCTATCCTGCAGCAGACACTCTAAGGCACAGCAACAACGGGGTTGCTCACGGAGAAGCCCTCCCAAAGGGCTTCCTCGCCCACTCGCCCTCCCCAGCGGCCTCCAACCCCCCGCCCCGGCAGCGCCCGGGCCCCGACGCCCCTCTCACCCCAGCGGGAACACGCTCGCTGCCGGCGCCGCGGCGGCCGTCGTCGTCGGCGTCCCGAAGCTGAAGCTGCCCGGCTGCGCGGCCGTGCTCGGCGTGCTGAAGGAGAAGAGCCCGGCGGGCTGGCTGCTGGCCGCCGTCTGCGCCGGGGACCCGAAGCTGAAGCCCCCCGAGGGGGTGACCGTGGTGGCGGCCGTCTTCGGCGTGCCGAAAGTGAAGCCGCCCCCGCTCCCGGTACCGCCCGACCCGAAGTTGAACTGGCTCATGGCGGCTGCGGGAACGGACACCGGCAGAAGGACCGCGACGGGGACCGGGACCGAGCCTGGCCGCGGACGGCGGAGACCCCACTCCCACAGCCCTGTCACAGCAGCCGCCGCGCGCCGAGAGATGACGCACTTCACCCGCGCGACACACCCGCCCCTCGCCCCCGCCTGCCAACCACCGGCCGAGGCTTCCCGCCCTCCGCAGCTATTGGATGGCCCCGCCGCCGCTCCTACGATGTCCATTCCTATTGGCTGCCCGAGGCGAGGCGGGCAGCGACGGCCCGTCGCTGTGGTGACGGGCACGCGGCCGCTTGGAGGCTCTGGGCCGGGCGGCAGCACCGGGGCCTTGGGCGGGCCGGGGCGGCTGCTCGCTGCCGCCAGAGAGCCGGTCGAACCAGGGCCTGGAGTGACTGAGAAAGGGTGATCCGCCCCGCTGCCTTACCGCGGGATGGGGGCCGCTGTGCAGCCCGGCAGCGGGGCCGTAGCATGTGCACGGGTTTTCCTGAGGCAGTGGTTCCATCTGCCCTCAGCTAGGGCCTGGAGCCGGGGCTGTTCTCACCCCGCAGTGGGCAGAGAACCTGCGTGGAAAGCTCTGCCAGGCCCGAGCCAAGGCATCTAGTGCTGCCCTGGCTGCAGGAGCTGCAAACCCGCCTTGACAGGGCGTCTGCCAGAGCCAAGAGTCGCTGTGAGGCTTGAGCTGTGATTGCACCCACTGCCTGAGGGGAGAAAGAGTCTCTAAGCACAGAGATAAGAGGTTCACTCTGTTCCATCATACATATGGCATACATGTGAGAATTTGGTGTAACTTTACCCTTCTAGAACACACAGCAGGAACATTGTGCTTTACAGACAGCGCAGAAAATGTTTTGTTCTTTCTTCATCACTTACATGTTTTGTCTGCGTAGGTGAGCAGTTGGTGTTGATACGGATACTGTTTCCTCAGGCTCTTCTCTGCAGTTCCTGGCTAAACTGCTTTGTGATGCTCCAGAGGATGATGATGAACACGTGGTGAGTCTTTCATAAGAAATGCTGATTCTTTTACATGTGGTGCCACAGTCTGAACATGTTAACTGAGGAGAAGCAAACCCCTCTTTTCCCAGAGTGAGTAAAAAGAGAATGACAACTGTAGAAGGCTTTGGACTGTCTGAAACAGGTAGATACTAGAAGATACTTTTAGGGTACCAAGCTCTTGAGGGAGACAGTAAGGTACATGCCCCAGGAAAGCAAGGATGCAATTGTGACAACAAAATAGGAAGGAGGCTTAATTTTTCAGCCTGAAGGACGTGAGAACAGGTAGCTGAAAGAGCTTGGAATGCTTTAGACTTCCCCCTGCTTTTCCCTGAAGCCTGCCAGCAATGAAGGCAATTACAGCTAAATGCTTCCTATGAAGGGGAAAAAGCTGCTGCTCGACTTCTGAGAAAAGCCTAAAATATCCAAAGGCGACTGAGGGTACTGATTCTGTGCGTCAGGCGTTGAAGAACTGTAGAGAGAATCGATCACTGCAGTACCACGGATCTGTTGGTGACTGTAGAGTAGGAAAGGGTGAGTAATTGTTCAACAGTGAATGATTAATGAGAGAAATATCTTTCTGTTCTTCTGTATCAGTTCCTCTCAGGACTAGGTGAAATTCACAGCTGTAGGAAAATGTACCTTTTTACCTGCAATATACAAGTTACAAACATGGCAAATTCCTCCAAATTGCTCCTCAACAAAGAGCCAGCTGGCTGTCCCGGCAGTTGGGCACTAGTAGTGGCAACAGTAGCAATATTTGGGATAAAAGGTTGTGTATCCCTTGACATTTCCTTTCAGTAGGTGGTAGATGTGGTCCTTCACGCTCTTCACTCCCATTCAACTGTTAAAGCCCTGCCTTTTCATGCTAGCATTATTGCTGCACATCTTTGGAGTAAACATCCTGATTTTAAAAGAATTTGTTTACATCTTATTAATAAAACGAATGACACTTCAGAGACAGAAATGGAAAATTGCCACAAGAGATGTCAATTAAGTCTGAGTCAGTCTGGGTAAATTGAAATCTTTATTTTGATTTAATGTTCTGTGCATATGAGGCACTTTTATCAAACCAAGGAATCTTCGTCTTTAGGAGAAATGCCTCACATTGCCCTATTAGCACTAAATTGATTCATAATTAGAGGAAAATGTTGTTGCCTCATATGATCTCGACTGTCAAAAGGAATCCAAAGGCTGTGATGGAGTTTTCACTTTAGCACTCAGTCCCATGTTAGCAGCCGTTAACAGCTGTAGTCAGTTCCTAAGGTACCACTGATGGGGTTTGCTTCAATAAGAAAGTGGTCACTGACCTTTGAGATAGAAATTGTTAAGGCCAGTTTTACAATTGTAGTGTAAAATTCTTCTTTTTCCAAAAGCTTAACTGCAAAAAATCTACAAAGAGAAGCAGAAAAAGTAACCCAAGAGCACCACAGCCTGCAGTGGTCATAATAAACAGAGCATAGAACACAGCCTGAAGGCAACCCTGACTGAGCAGTAAAAAGCTTCATATAAGTTCTGTCATTGAACTGTTAACGCAAACAAGGAAGATGGACTTCCAGGTACTTGCCTGAAAGGATCTTCATGGAGTAATGACATGGAAATGAGCCTATGGCTATAAGGAGAAAGAGCTATGAAGTGTACACTGAAACACAGCTGTACCACATTCCCACCAGGAAAGAGCAGAAAAATAGTTTAGTGTTAGTTCTTCCTGGAGCTAAACTGTCACATTATTGGGCAGCTTGGTGTATAAGTACTCCAACTTATATTTGCATTTCAAAGAATTAAGCTCTTTAGAGACAAATAGTACTATGGGAAGGTAGGCAACACAGCAGTTTTGAACCTTTAAATCTTGTCATTCAATCTTAGTCTATTGAGGGACAGCCTAAACCCAGGCTTTTCCCTCATTCATTCACCTGAAGCCTCACCATACAGTTGTACATGTGTTCTTGAAACCCTCACCTGTGAGTTACAGAACAAGCTCTCTTTGTGTTGTGGGCACAACAGAAGGTGTTCTTATGCTATTTTTTGACCCCTCACCTCCCTGCTGGGTAAAATGCAGAGCTTCTCCAGCCTCAAGCAATTATGAGCTGTGTTGCAGAAATGAAAACGGAGTGGAAGTCTCTGTGACAGTTCATCAAATTGAATCAAGATGTCTCAAAAGGAAAGCAGATGACTCAAGAAGTGCAACCACAGCTATTAGACATTTCTCATTGATTTGGGAATTATTACATACAAGTATGAACACTGGAGAATTGGAAAATACTTTCTCTGTGCTCTTCCCAACAGCTTAGAATTGACTCTCTCCACTTACTATGTGAGAGAAGGCAGAAGGGGTGCAGGGAGAGGAAAGAAATTGCAAAGTAAAGCTCATTGTGTATTATTTGCACCCCTTCAGCATTTTGCTAAAGAGACAAAGAGCAAAGCAGAATTGAGTATTGGGGCAGGTCTGCTAAATACATGATAATTCACTTCCCTCTACTAGTAAAGAGACATAGGAATGGGCATCATAACCACACTTTAGCATTTAAAAGTCCTGGCAGCAGACTTGTCGACCATGTGCTTTCCTGCACCCTTGTGACAGAACAAGCTTCACCACCTCAAGTCACCACACAAGAACCATTTTTCTAATGGCACATCTAAATTTTTAATTGAGTACAAATTCCACTTACAGGTACCCGCACAAAAGAAGGTACCCAAAAGTACTTGATTGCCCAGAAGTACAGAAAACAAGGCCCACTTTCACAAGTGGAAACACAGGGAATTGAAACACAAGCTCCAGTCAGCAGCAGGAGGAATCCAAGTCTCTCAGACAGCTCCTGCTGGGGACAGCTCTTCCTTAAACTGTCCCTGTAAAGACCTGAATCAAAGCTTAGGAAGTCCCAGCTGAAGATAGTCAGGTTCCACTGAAGTTCTGGAGAGCTCAGCCATGGAGCCACAGAGGGCTTAAATCCCTCAGGGGCAGCCTCTGTGTATCTCACCAGCCTGCAGGCAGTTGGGAACACCAGGAACAAAGGACACTACTTCCAGCACAAACTTCATGCAGTCTCTCAGACCAGAGTCAGGGAATTCCAGTCAGTCACTGCAAAGACTGGCTTTGGAACAAACAAAAAAATTTATTACAAGGAACAAACCCAGACAAATCATATGAAGAGCGGCTGAAGGAGCTGGGGCTGTTTAGTATGAGGAAGAGGAGGCTGAGGGGAGACCTCATCACCCTCTACAACTACTTGAAAGGACACTGTAGAGAGGCTGGTGCTGGTCTCTTCTCACAGGTAATTAACAATAGAACGAGAGGGAACGGCTTCAAGCTCCAACAGGGTAGGTTTAGACTGAACATTAAGAAGGAATTTTTCACAGAAAGAGTGGTCGGGCATTGGAACAGGCTGCCCAGGGAGGGGGTGGAGTCACCGTCCCTGGATGTGTTTAAGGGACATTTAGATGCGGTACTGAGGGATATGGTGTAGGGGAGGACTTTGTAGAGTAGGGGAGATGGTTGGACTCGATGATCCCAAGGGTCTCTTCCAACCTCAATGATTCTATGATTGGGTACCTAGGTCCCCACCAACCTCTATTTTCTCAGGAGGTGTTGCATTAATCCTTTAAACATTGAGTCTTTTAGTCAAATGCAAACCGAAAATTGCGCTCTTGCTCCTTGCGTCGGCTCTCACAGACCTTTGTCACCTCTTCTACCTTTCTCTGCAACACGGCTGTGGGAGAAACAAGGCATTAGGCTTACAACCATCCACAAACACAACCCTGCACAGGTTAGCCTGCAGAAGGAGAAAAAAAAGCATTTGACTTTTGACAGTCATTGAGATTTGACAATGCACAAAGGAGGAAAACCCAACAGAAAGCGCTGCTAACCCTCCAAGACAAAGAAGATTGGCTAAGAAGTACTTTGAGGCATTCAGGGCCCACCAGGCAGAAGGCTGTTGACACTTTCTGCCATACCAGTTTGTTGCAGTTTCAGGGCACAGCATCAGAGAGCAGAGCAAGGCATCCACCAACAGAAGCTGCAGGGCCCCAGCTTGAGGAAAAGCTATTGCTCTAGAAATCAGTTTCCCCTACCCATCTCCTGCTGAAC